CTCCTGACTTTAGCAACTATGACTCTATTCATTGTGTGGCTTGTTCAATCAATGTGAACTTTTGCATTAATTAAAACCAATGCTTTTGAAACAGCGGGCTGTGTCACTTATAGGCAGGACAGAGACCAGGATCCAGAACTCTGGATCCCAGGCAGTAGGTGGTTCATGTCAGCTTACTACCTCTCAGGACACACCCAGATACTTGTGTATAAAGACCCAGGACAAATCAAAGCTCTATAAGATGCAAGCACCTTACATTAGGGCATCCCTTTCCTGGCTAAGCATGCCTGAACACCCTCCTCCCCCTCAAAAGATCTTCCTCTGCTCAGTTCTCTATCTCATGTATGTATATTTGCCAGATGTCCCCTAGTCTCCATTCTTCTCCTCCTCCACCCCAACAAAGCTTCTGATGTTGGTCAGCCAGATCCACAGGTGTAGGTGGGTCGCCATGGTGACAGAGGAAGCCCTAATGCAGAAAAAGAGAAACAGAAGCATCAGAGGAAGGGCCCTGCCTTGTTTCTAGGGTATGCAAAGGCCTGGGCTTCTTGGAAGTGCTTCCTTTGACTCAGAGAAGCACAGCAGAGGTCAACAGAGGTGCTGCTGTGTTGAAGAGACTACGGAATTCCTGAACTCTTCTTTAAAAAAATTTTTTTCTGTGATTTTCAGGTGATCATCAGTATAACCATCCGATTTTAAGCAGCGCTACCCAGACCCCTACACATGGTGAGAGATGACTGAGAGTGTTCTGCATTCCATCCTCATCCCAGGTGTTTCCATCCTAGCTACTGATGCCGACTACGGCATCAAGCACGGTCACTGGCTCAATGAAGCTAAGGCGGCGTAAGGAGCCGGCACCTGCCCTCCCCTAGGGCCGCGACGACTCACTCTCACTTTTAGACCATTGCCCCCCCAGTGTCTGTCTCTGATATCAAAGTGACCTTCTGCCATGAAAGGGGAAGACAGAGCCCCTTTCTTAACCCATTTCACTTACAATCTTGATCACTTCTTGCAGCCATAAATTCCATGTGTCCACAGCAAGGAGTGATCACTCTTGTTTGCCCAGGGCTACTTGTGCCATATTAGGAATGACATGAGATGTGGAAAACTCTACCGATCCTCCCCCAAACTAATTAAGATTGGATAAAACTCAAAACCAAACTGGATGACTTGAGCTTTAGCTCTCAACAGAGGAAGAACCTGAAAGCTGCAGAGCACGAGTGTGTCAGCAAAGTGCCAAAGAGTTACAAAACCATGTTTCCCTCTTACGTGTTAACACCCTCCCATCACATCACAACTTATCATTTGGAACTGCAGTGAAAAACTATTTTTGGGACATGCTCAAAACTTGATAGAACACAAGACAGCCATGTAAATCATGAGTTATCAGTCATTCTCCTGTCTTTGGCTTTAAATAATGAAAACATCATTAAATTGTAGCGAGAGAGAAACTCAAAACAAAGATAAATTCTGCAGCTCACCTGGCAGAGAGATCTACACCTCTCGTGTCAGACTATGCTGTTTCTGCACTAGAATTTGGAGGAAAAAAGTGAACTATATCGAGGTGCCCCTCCAGTGCTAGGCTCCTAATGAAAATATGAGGTGAAAGCAACAGTTTAATAAGGTGTTTCAAGTTGCAGGGTCTAGGAAAAAGTAGAACTGGGGGAAATCAGACTGATCAGCTAAAAGAAGCTGGTACCACCAGTGATGTTGACAGTAGGAATACGGAGAAGGGTTCAGATAGGAAATATTTGGGAGAAAGAATTGGGAAGTCTCAGTTACTAACTGAATATGACTGAAAAGAGTCAATTATGAGTGAAATGGAGAGTCATGATCAGTTAGAAGAATGAAAGTCTCATGAAAGCAATCGAAGAAATCAGGACAGCAGCCAGTGTTGCTGCTGGGATGGAGCTGCTGTGGGTGAGTCTGGATCTGGACATCGAGAGCTGGATATGACTACAGGATCTGCAAGGAAAATCATTCAGTAAGGCAGTTAGAAATATAGACATGATGTCTGGAGGGAGATAACAGCCGAAGATGTAAGTTGTGCTTTGGAAGCAGCAACAGAAGTCTTGGGAGTAGGGGCAATCTGTGCAAGAAGGCTGAAAGAGAAAAGCAGAAGGCAGGAGCAGAAAGCCTGGGGGACGCCCGTGGTGATGAAGCAGCAGCAGGAAGAGGATCCAGAAAAGGCAAGCGAGGATGTCTGCTTGCTCAGTATCATTCTGAAAGACTAACTCCGAGTTGCTATTCCCCAGAAGAAGCCGACACAAGCACAGCCTCCTGAATGCAAATGGAGGAACCACTCTTTCTTTTTTTTTTTTTTTTTTGCCTTTATTTAATTTACTTTTGCCTTTTCATACTGTTCATGGGGTTCTGAAGGACAGAGTGACTGCTGAAGTGGTTTGCCATTCCCTTCTCCAGTGAACCACAGTTTGTCAGTCAGAACTCTCCACCATAACCCATCCGTCCTGAGTGGCCCTGCATGGCAGGGCTCATGGTTTTATTGCGTTACTCAAAGCTGTGATCCATGTGAAATTTTATGTATTTATTTATTTATTGCTTTTTAACTGGAGGATAATCTATATAGTGTTGTGTTGGCTTCTGCCATACAACAATGAGAATCAGACATAGTTTTATATATATACATATGTTTATGCCTTAATTATATATATCTCCCTCTTGATACTAACACATCTATATGGAATATAGAAAAACAGTATTGATGAACCTATTTTCAGGGAAGGAATGGAGATGCAGATGTAGAGAATGGACTTAAGGAGGAAACTTTCTTTCCTCTTCCTCTTCCTGCCTTCTTTTGCCACCTGATGCGAGAAGATTGAGGATAGAAGAGACCCAGTACCTGCACTTAAACAGCTCACAGCTCAGTGGAAGCAGTGTTTTCTCTTCATTCCTTCCTTGGATGTTTCACTTTTCCCAGGAGCTGGCAGAGTGACCCTCAAGAGAGGAGGCGGCCTGTGTCTACTTGATTAGCCAACGGGCATTAACTGAATTCTTATTTTGGGCCAAGCGCTGTGAAGGCATCAGAAAAACTGGAAAGCAAAACTTCTGCTGTCAAGGAGATGGCAATCTTTGGAGATAAACAAGACCAACTAGAGTCAGATGATGAGAGACCACATAGACACTAAACTGGGTGGTACTGACCAGAAGAGCAACAGGGGCTTGAAGACCAGATACTACTCTGGGCTGAAAAGATGTCATATTGTCACAGCAAAGAGTCTTAAGGGAGGGGGGAATTTGGACAGAGGGAGAGTAAGGAAATGACTGCGAGAGGAGAGACAGCATGAGCGAGGGGCAGAGGCAATCAGTCATGGTGGAGGCAGAAAGCAAGGAAGGGTTGGCCTTGGCTCCGTGGCAGGTTTGGAGAACAGTGAGGGGTAAGAGTATCCAGAAACGTTGCATTTGGAAGGGGGTGAGCTGCGTGATGTCCTTGGTAGAAGAAAGATGCCCACAGCAGAGGAAATTCATTCTTCTCGAGCATGGCCCCAAGTGAAGACACAAGAGCTACGGGGCTGGTAGCTCCTGCCCAGCAGCACTCCTGGCTCCCTACCCACTCCACTCCCTGGCACCAGCCCCATCCATGCTAGGGAGGCTCTTTCTGTACAGCATGTTCTGATCACCCAGGGATGTAGAGCATCCCCCCACCCCCTCACATATGTACCGAGCTGGCGTGAATACCTAATCATTGGCTGGGCTTCCCTGGCTCCATCCCCAGAGTTAAGGGTACCATGAGGGCAGGAAAGGACAGAGAAGCCAAGAGTTCCCTGTATTGAGATTGTCCTTGAACAAAGCCTAGAAGAGTTTCTCTTTGTCTCAAGGTTCATAGCATCCCCTTTGCTGGGGATGGGGAACCACAGTACACGGATACACTTGTCCAAAGTTAGAACCTGCCCCTACTTGGGAGTCCCAAACCAGGAGGGATAATTCAAGAGCCACCCAGCTGCCTCATCTCTGGGAATGGTTTCTCCAGCAATCCCTGTTGACTTCTTGCTGTACATCAAGTCATCCAAGCACCAAGGCATGCTTGTCTTCCTGCCCGGGATCTCCATTCCTTTTTGTCCCCCATCTTCATGGCCACTCATCACCTATACCTGCATCTCCTCCCCCCTCTTCTGACTCCTATATTATTCCTAATCTGGCCCCCAGAACCCAGACCAGCTCATTCACCTCATTAGTCATTCATCTCACTTCTCTTTGGTCTTTTTCCCCATGTCTTCCCCTCCTTCTTTTTCTCCAGGTCTGGCACTGAACAATCTCCCTTCTCTCTCTTAGACTTTGGAATCTCAAGGTTCTGTCTCAAAGGATGGAGGGAGAAAAACAGAATGATGTGCTAGACATTTTGCCTACATTCTTTCCTCCAGCAGTTGAGAGATGGCTAAGGGGGATTCAGAGGAAGGAACTGGAATAATAGGAAATAGCTTTGCAGCTCACAGTGCCTTGTCAGGAGCAGGGCTTGGAGGAGCCAAAGGTGGAAGGGGCAGTGTGAGAGGTGAAATGACCCATGGACAGCGTGGGTTGGAGTCTCAGTGGAGTTAGGTCCTGGACCCAGTCCTAGGGTCCAGGACGCAGATGAGATCAGTCACTCTACCTCCTTCTCCTTCAAACTTAGATTTTTCTGAGCCTGAGAACTAGTTTGCCTAATACTATTCACACCAAAATGAATGATTTTATGACCCACCTCCTCAGCTCCACTGGGCTTCCATTTTCATCTGACAGCCCCGTGATGTACTGGGAGAAAGAGTCTGCCATTTAAGGAAGGGTAACCTGTCATTATGCCAGTGCAGCCAAAAGCTCCTGCCCCCACTGGCTTGCTGGCAACTGGAGCTGAGCAGAGGGAAATCAAGTCACCAGCATCACCTGTGTCCTAGCACGGGGTCCCCGGAAAGAAGGATGGGGTCAAGAGTTGGAACCTGGACACATTCCTCCTGCCTGCCCCTGCAAAACTTTTTCCCCACTAACACCACGACCCCTCCCTTCTTTTGCAGAGAAGCCTCGGATGAACAACATCCTGACATCGGCCACCGAGCCCTATGACCTCTCCTTCTCACGCTCCTTCCAGAACCTGGCCCACCTGCCCCCATCCTACGAGTCTGCAGTGAAGACCCACCCCAGCAAGTACTCATCCCTGAAGAGGCTAAGTAAGTGGGATATTTTCCCAGGGCTGGGGGCTGCTTCCAAGGCTTCCATGACATCTTCTGGTGTCTCACTCTCTTGCCCCACACCTGAGGGCATGGGGTGGGGTCTCAAGAACAAAGAGAATGTGGAAGAAGAGAAGAGACAAGCCCCTCATTTTTGTTCTTTAGAGCATGAGTCCATCTTCTCCCTCGGTAGAGTGGAGGCCAAGGAATCCTCAGACCCACATTCCCATGGGAGGCAGTGGTTCAACTTATGCACCACATTAACTGCAAGAGAAAGCCTTCCTCCAGCCTCGCCCCACACCTACCTTCTTCAAACCCTGGGCCTCCCTTGCTCTGTCTTGGAATAAAAGTGATCAATGCCAGAGCTTTCTTTGAGGCTCTTCCCAGAGACCTGGGCTTATGGAAGGGCCTATAAACCAGCTCTCTCCCTAACTCCATCAGCGATGTCTTGGGAACCTGAGACCCCTCACTCCGTGCACACATCCCATTTCATGAGTTGAGTCCAGGTCATCCCATGATCCCAGCTCTGCCATTTGAGTCTGGGGAGGTTCTTGAGACTGACATGTTTCAGACGTTACAATATCAAGAAGGTATATGGTAGGAGTCTTCTCTTCTAGCTTTCCAACCCATGGACCTTTTGCCTCCACTGTCCAATGAGTCTGTTTTGATGACCACCCAGCTACAGGGCTGAGCATGCACTTGAAGTTACAGAGTGACCTACTATGATAGCAGTTCAGCTCAGGAGACAACATTGGCCACCTCCAAAGTGGCACAGTGAGTTTCTATGGTTAAATGTGGGGAATCCCACATTCTGCAGAGACATGGAAGGCTGTCTGTAGGAAGCCTCATTCCTCAACTGTGGGGTAAAGCAGGTTTGTCCTGGGTGAGTTCATGGGTCAGCATGGGATGGAGGGAAAGGCAGAGCATCTGAATGAGGTGCACATATGCGGTTGCCCTGGCCTGCTTGTGCTGCGGGCACAGGCGAAGCGTGTGTAGACTTGATCCTATGCCATGTGTTGGCTTCCTAGGCATAGGCTGTTACTCCAGAGAAGGTGTTAGTATGTTCCTAAGTAACCAAGAAGCATTTTCACAAGTGCCTCCTGGATGGAGCATCCTGGAAGCATTCTAGCAGAAGGCTGGTTTTCAGCCCTGTTTCCTTGGACAGAGGTTCTGAACCTCATCAGAAAGATGGCCAGCTGATACCTGGGAATTTCAGCAAGATCCAGGGAGCTATTCTGTTTCGGGACCATGGTGGGGCAGAAGCAGTCCTGGAGCAGGAGTTCAGGGTTATGGGCTTGCCATGGAGTTGGCCCTGAACTCCACGGGGACCTTGAGGGAGTCTCTTAACCCCAGAGTGGGTCCAAGAACTAGGGGCATCAGCATCGCCTGGGAGCTTGTTGGAGAAGTAGGCTGACTTGCAGACCCACCCCAGAGCCAGGTCTGAATCAGACTCTGCGTTTAACAAGACCCCGGAGGGTTTCCCTGGTGGCTCCATCAGTAAAGAATCTGCCTGCAATGCAGGAGACCTGGCTCAATCCTTGGGTCGGGAAGATCTCCTGGAGAAGGAGATGGCAACCCACTCCAGTATTCTTGCCTGGGGAATCCCATGAACAGAGGGGCCTGGTGGGCTACAGTTCATAGGACTGCAAAGAGCTGGACACTAAGCGACTCAACCAAGCCAGCCCGAGGACTGACTTGCAGGCGCAGTGGAACAGCGCAGCGTCGACCCCTCTGGGCTGCATCAGTCCAGTGCGGTCCTGGCTGCAGCACTGCGGTGTCCCCACCCCCCGGCTCACTCCTCTCCCTCTTGCTCTCACCCTGTCTCTCCCCTGCAGCCGACAAGGAGGCTGACGAGTACTACATGAGGCGGCGGCACCTGCCTGACCTGGCCGCCCGCGGCACCCTCCCCCTCAACGTCATCCAGATGTCCCAACAGAAGCCGCTGCCTCGCGAGCGACCCCGCCGGCCTCTCCGGGCCATGTCGCAGGACCGGGTCCTTTCCCTGGAGCGAGGCCTGCCGGACGACTTCGGCCTGCCCTACGACCGCCTCCTCTCGGACGAGCAGCTGCTCTCCACCGAGCGCCTGCACTCCCAGGACCCGCTGCTGTCCCCGGAGCGGACGGCCTTCCCCGAGCAGTCCCTGGCGCGGGCCATCTCGCACACGGATGTCTTCGTGTCCACGCCCGTGCTGGACCGCTACCGCATGACCAAGATGCACTCGCATCCCAGTGCCTCGGATAACTCGTACGCCACCCTGGGCCAGAGCCGCACGGCGGCCAAGCGCCAGGCCTTCGCCTCGCGCAGACACAACACCGTGGAGCAGCTGCACTATATCCCGGGCCACCACACCTGCTACACCGCCAGCAAGACAGAAGTGACCGTGTGAGCGGCGGCGGCCCGGAGTCGGCCGGGGCCTGGGCAGCCGCTTCCGGGCCTGGACGGGGCCCCTCCCCTCGTCCTCTCTTGCTGGGGCCGGGGGTGGGCCGCCTCTCCCAGAAAGCCATACTCCTGGGACTCGGCCGGTGGCCGGGCACAGCGCGCGCGCAGACCTGGGATCCAGAGCGGTCACCCCCACTGTTCCAGAAGAATTGGAGAGGAGGGAGGAAAGGGGCGAGGCCCCGGTCTCCTCCCCTCCCCCACTGTCACCACGTCCCTTTCAGTCCCATGCCCCCCTTCCCCTCCTGCGGGGGCTCAGCTGCAGGTCCGTCCGCCGAGAGACCCTGGCCTGACCCTGGCCGGAAGCTGCCCGCCCGGATTTGACTTGGCCGATGGGCTGACGGAATAGGCTCCACGGTCTCTTTCATTCACCTAAAACCGCATCACAGAAATCTTCTTAGTGCCTAAAAACTGCCTGCTCGCTCTCTCAGAGCCAGGGAGCTGCTGTGTCCATAAGCACAATAATGATTCTCTTCTGCCCGCTGGAACTCTCTGGTCCCCAAAGGGCGGCCCTTCTCTCCGCTGACTCCCCGGGGCCCCGCCCTGGCCCTCTGCCCCTCCCCCAAGCCCCAGGACCTGGAGGGGGTTCCCTTCCTTCAGCGGCCGCCCCAAGGTTGGGAGCCCCGCCCCTTTCCGGCTGGCTGCCCCGCCCACAAGACTCCGACCCGCCCCCAAGGCCCTGCCCCGCCCCCAGCCCTAGATTCCATCCCTGGGTTCCCTGGGGCTTCCCTCTGGTCATTCTAGAACAGAGTAGGGATGGGGTGCAGGGGCTTTTGGGGTGGCCCTCCCCAGCAACCCGATGATCTCCACACTTCCTCCAGGCCTCCGGGTCTGTCTGAACCGTGACCTGCCACTCTGGCCTGCCTTCCCCTCCCAGGCTCTTCTCCCAAGAGGCTCTGCCCCCTGGCCAGAGAGCAGCTGTGGGGAGGCCACTGTGACACCTTGGGCCTCGAAGGCTGGCCATTCCTCCTGCCGAGGGCTCCCGCCACACGCACCAGGCGGGACAGAGGCGCTGGCTGCTGGGTGGAAGGCCCAGCCCCACGCAAAGGAGGACCCCAGGCGGTTGTTCTACACCTCGACCTCTCCACTCCCTGCATCACTGACGCCCCACCCCCCGACCCCCGACCCCCGACCCCTGTGCTCGCCCCGTCTCTGTTTAGAGCCTGCTCTCTGCCAGTTTCCCCTCCTGCGCCACCCTGTCCCCCTCGCCCCACACCTCCCACCTTCCTGCAGCTTCAGGACTCTCCTGGCTGCCGCTTCTTTCTCCTGTGTCTCCTTTGGATCTACCGCACAGAGACCAATTAGCAGATGCAAATAATGGTACTCCGGGCTATTGGTCTGGGGGCTAACTGGGTACCGCCACAGTGCTCCCCTGCAGGGGGCATCGGGCCTCCGGCAGATCCAGGCCGTCAGCTCTATTGGTGGGGGTGGGGGGCGGAGTGGGGGAGAGAAGGCTCCATTCTCTAGGCCAGGATACCTCCCTGGGCCGGAGCTGGGGGAACTGGCTTCAGACTATCGGGCAAAAGTATGATACTACAAATGTGACAGCCACCACAGTCAGACTCCAAAAGCAATGACTTTAAACTGGCTTTTAGATTCCCCAGTTCCGCATACAACATGTATGACCCTTTAAAAAGCAGGGGTGGGGCAGGGAGAAAGCCTCAGGGTCAGCCCTGGGAATTTTTAATCTAATCCACAGAGAAATCAATTGACTGATTCCTCCTACTTTTTCAAGAATTCCAAAGCTCTTGTCCTCCCCTCCCTACCACAGTGCTCACCATCACAAGAATCACGAGGGGGACTGAGGCTGGGGGTGATGGACACAGCACCAAGGTCCCCAAGGGGGTGGTGTCACTGGGGCTGTGAGGCTGTGAGGTCAGGGATAACTCTCGGCTTCCCTTCTTGACAAACACATAAACTGTCTCAAGGGCTGGTCCCTAAGGGTTTATGAGAGTTTACTTCAGAAGATGAAGCTAAGAGGGCTGGGCTGGAAGGAATCAGCTACTCCTGGAAAGGAACATGTGTCTGTCACAGCCATCCGCATCTGCCCACTGCCCTCTAATCCAGTCCTTGGCCACTCCCCTTGAAGGCTGGTGCAGAGCAGGGGAAAGGATGTGGGTGGATGTGAATCTATACAAACATAGACCTGAACCAGAAACCGGTTCTCATTCATATCTGCAGCATCCTCTCTGCACCAAGTTCTCCAGCCCTCGGGGCGATGATGCTTCTCCCCAACCCTGTATGTCTGTCTGGGGTCTGTTTGGTAGTTTGATTCTGAACCATTTCTCATCCCAGCATTCCTGCTGCCCAGTTTAAAACCTCTGGTTGTTGGTTGGATCAAAAAATTTCTATCTGACCCTTTACTTCTTTGAAATGATTCTTCTGCTCCACCCTTGAGTCTGGAAGGAGGGAGGGAATGAAGGAAGAAAATAAGAGAAAGAAGTCTACAGACGAGCTCCAATTCAGTCCCCTCATTTCAGGATCCATACAATGATGTCTCAACTGGGACACAGCAATATCGTGTGTATCAGTCGTGCCATCCATATTTGTAGGATGAGCAAAGCTGCGTTACTGGACAAGTTCTTTTAGCAGAGAGGAGAGGGTTCTGGAGCTGGAACCCGGGTGCCCAGACTTCAGCACAACCAGGCTGGTGGCCACTACCCCACATGGAAGGGCTGGCCCTTCCCCCACAGTGGAAGCCCTGCTCTCCCACTAAGGGTAGCCCCAAGCCCGATGTTTCCCCCTGCTTGTCTGGCTCTCTGACTCTCCATTGCTCTGCTGGGGAAACACTGGGGTCTGCATGGGTTCTCTCCTGCCCTGAAGGTTTGTGCTGGCCAGCTTGGCCTTTGATGGCGGCTGAGCCCTCACTGTCCGTCATGCCCTTCCGCCTTTCCTGCCTCGCTTCCTCCAGTGAACTCCTGGCTCTGGGAGCTCACAAGTCACAAATGCTTTCCCAAGAACTCCTTTAATCCCCTAAATGGACTTTTACCCACAGGGCTCCCCAGTGTCTTGGGTGATGGGCTTGCTTTCTAAAAAGCTGCCACCCTTCTCTTCGTTCAGATGTCTCCTCCCCTCTTTCCATTCCCGGCCTGAAACTGACCCCACTCTTCCATGCCCATTCAGCGCTTCCTCCTCTCATCTCCCTGGCCCTGGTCTTCCATTCACCTCTCTCCATCCCAATCTCTTTCCCCTGGTCCTGCTGCACTACCCCCTGGTTCTAAAATGTGGAGGTCTCAATGAAGACAGTCCCAGAGTGAGACATTCTTCAGGTCCCTGTTGGCCTCATTGGTTTATCCTTCACCTCCTGCCCCCATGAGATAATGGTGGAAGCTACTCTGTCAGAGGCATCATGGGCAAAGACTGGCTTTGGTTCCTGTAGCTGGCATGTCCCTGAAGCCCCTTCCCCAGCTTGCCGCTAGCCCAGAGGCTCCTGCTCCGGCCAAAGATTCATATCCTTGAGGGCTCTCAGCCACTGTTCCATCTCAGTTATGCCTGTCCTGCTTGTGTGTATCATAGACCTCCCTTTGTCTCCAAAAGATGAGAGAGCCTCATGACTGACTGAGCTTGGAGAAATATCCATTCCAGTAAGCCCAGTAACCCTACCACCAAACAGTCCACTTTCTTCAGAGATACACTGTCTGCCCCAGCCTTCTGGCCTCAGATCCCAGTCAGAGGCAACTGTGAACCTGACCTTCAGGGCCTGCTGGTGATCGAGATCCTAGGAAGCACCTGTTTTATTCCCCGCACACTTTCCTCCACCCTCCTCCCCAAACCTGGGAAACTTGGCTCTGGAGTATTTTCTAGGAAGCTCGTTGTGCTTCAATGATGTATTTTTCAGGGTTCCTATGTATTTTTTTTATATATATAATGCAGCATTTTAGTGACAGATTTGATATGAGAGCTGCGTCTTCCTGGGCTCTGTATTTGATTTCTGAAGGCAGCATACTACAGGAGGAAAAACCACGGGGCTGAGGCTCTTGGAGATTTGGCTTCCGTGTTGGCTTTGTCCCCGTCTTGCCATGTGACTGAGGACCAGCTGCGTTCTCCCTCAGCACCTCTTTTTCCCATGTATAAAGTCAGGGGCTTTGACCAGATGAGTTCTGAAGTTCTATCCCACTCGTACATGTAGGGCTCCCGTTCCCCGTTAGTACCCCCTCCTCTCAGCATCCCTCCCCTCCCAGCTGGGCCGCACACATCCCATTCCACATGCCACATGGCGACATGGTCAGGTGCCCTGGGCAGTCTCCACACTCCTTCCCAGAGCCCGGGGTGGGCCCCGTGGGCACGGCTACCCCGGGACGCTCTCCCATCTGAAGGTGGAAGGGCCCGCCCGTTCAGTGGGCTACCAACCGTGTGTCCTGGAATCCACTCCCACCCCATATAGACACACCTGTATCACCCCAGGTATCTGAGTCACTGGGGAATTCTCAAGTGCTCATCCTGATGTGGTCCTTAGAGCTGGAGGGAGGTGGTTCTGACTTCCGAGATGGCATGGGCTAGAGGAGAGCAGTCCAGAGATTGGCCCAGGATGATACGAAGTCTGTATCTGATATCAGCTCGGTGATGCATTCCAAGCCACGGGGGAGACAGAATGCACCGCGGCGACTCTGCAGCGATGGGCGTCACGTCTCCCGCCAGAACCCGTGTCCTGAAGGCCGAGTCCGGACACAGGGCTCCGCACCACCTGGAGGAGGGGAGGCACACCCCTGGGCTGCTAAGAGGTGGGCACCCACCCCATCCTAGTACCTCTCTGGCCCCTCCTCTTGTGACACTACCATCCTCCCGGTGAAAGCTTGAGAAGAAGTGAGAATTGAGAGTACAAGTCAGTACCACCGAACCCATCTTGTAAATCGGTGAACACATCCACCATCCATCAGTCAGAGAAAGGACATCCTGCGTTTCCTTAACACCCTCCCTCCTGGGGGAGAGGAAGACCCCTGCTCCACTCTG